TTATTTTTTATATAATGTTAAACTTTTTCATTTTCTCATTTTTACTCTCACATTTGAATTTCTATTTTTTCTAATAATCCTTTATTACTATATAAAGTTGATACAAACTCACGAAATAAAGCCAATCTCATTCCCTATTTGATGAGTATATTCGTGAATTCAGATAAAGTTTATCCTATAAATAATGCTTGATAAAGAAGTGTGAGACAACGAAAAAGGATACCATATCGATAGAGCATCAATTTGGACCTCTGCATTTGTCAAGTTACCCGTCAGAAGAACCAATATTGTGCTGTACCACAGCTCAAGACTGTAAAGCAAACCACAGCTTCACATGTTAGGAAGGCATATATAAATTGTTTAAGATTATTTAATTTGAGGATAAAGGGTCTAATTGAAATGTAGACAACCAAAACTATGTTTTGAACAAATAACGAAAAGTTAATTTATTTAGCAATTAAATGATAAAAAAGAAAGCTCACCATAACATGACCCCGGATGAGAGGGAAAGCTTGACAACAGGCCAAAGATCTTTAAATGCTAAAAATGAGAAGCCTTTCCATGTATCAGAGCACCAGCCACAGGTAATAAATATTAGTTGGCCAATGTTAGTAACCCAAAATGCCACACTTGTTGAAATCATTGCGCCGGCAATTCCAACGTTAAATTGTATTGTCAATAGCCAAGACAGTAACACATGAATAGCTATTGACATAGCTGCCAAGAATGCTATAATGACATTCTTGCTTTGAGATTGCAGAAACATTTGGGTGGTGAAGGAAAAAATAAAAGCAAACAAGACAGGAATTGACAAAAGAGAAATGGTTTCCGCAACTTGTGCTATGTTCTCATCTTGGCCTAGGAGCCTCAAAATTGGACCTGTGAAGAAGAACAACGGAAGAAGACAGATTGCAGTTGAGCATAACACTATCCATGATCTCTGAAGATACACTCCCATCATACTATATTCTTTTGCCCCAAATGCTTGTCCACATAGTGTTGACAATGCACTCGCCATTCCCAACTGCAGTTCCCAGTTAACAGATACAAATAACTCAACTTACTCTCATCAAATTTTATTTTCTAATGCCCTTTCTTAAAATCAATATTCATAACATAACCAAAAGCAAAAAACAACAAATCCTTAATTTATTCATTCATAAAGCAGAAGACAGGTCAGATGTATGTATAAAAGCCAAGATTCTTCTCACCAATGTTTTTTCCACAAAGCAATTAATCTTTCCGGTTTTAGAAACAGGTATATTTTATTGTTTTAATTTTATTCAATTTTTGTCTAATCCATCTTTTCTTAGAATTTGTTTAAAAGTAAGAGATGGTTATTAATAATAAACTTCAGATAAATTATAAACATTTAACAATATAGTCCCAATAAAGAACATATACAATTAGTTAACATTTGATCAAAACTAACAGAGTGATTATGCTATTAAGTAAATATTCATGCAGAAAAATAGATAATTAGTGGCACAGACCAAAAACGTACCAGAATACCATTCGCAAAACGTATGAGAACAGTGTAAACGAGAGCAAAAGCAGCGAGTTCTCGTGAACCGATATGACCAACAAAAGCCTGGCTTATAACATTGATACCGAAGGTGGAGAACCTAGTGAATATGGCTGGTGCTGCCACTATCCACATCAACTTGCTCTCATTCCACACCCTCTTCACCAGTGACGATTCCTCTTCTGATGTTTGCTCTTTGATCAACAACTTTTGCTGTTGATCTCCCTCCATTTCTTTGGTTTGGTTGAAGAGGCTATGCTTGGTAGTGTAAGGAAGAACTAAGGGAGTGAGTATACAGCCTTCAACTTTTCGTTTTATTTATACAAAGTCTTCACGTGACTTCGACAAAACCAGCCTATGTCAGCTCGTGCAAGATGAGCTAATTAACCTCTGAAAAATTGTTACAGAGACCAAAAACTTAAAAGGTTTTAACTGACACCGCGCAGCGTCGTTGTCGAGTCATAAATTTTAGGCTACGTACGTGTTTGATACAGGCGCCACTGGAACACATGCGACGTGTAAGCCATTTATGCATAGAATAGTTTTTCTTATCACACAACAACCCATACTATAATAATGGTAAAAACAAGAGAAGGAAGACGTCATAAGATTGAACTATATATTGCCTGTTTTGTTACTGTTTTATAATTTTATCCTTTGAGATAATACCTTATAATTAACTTGACGCTATCAAGACAGGCAAAAGTTTAAATGTTTTGTAAAAGTGTTATATTTATTATTAAATTAAATATTTTCTTGATCATGAACATAAGTACAATAACAGGTTTTGGTTGAATGGATAAGAAGGATTTTACGTGGATCTTTAAGAACCTATTATTCTTATCAACATATTTTTCAGACCTAGTTTGGTGGGAAGAAAGGCAGATAGGAATATAGCTTGAAAGTGGAGATACTGGTAAGTTGAGAAATGAATAAATGAATAAATGAAAATATTTAAAAAAAAATGGGATTGATTGGGTATTTTCTGACAAAACAGGAAAATATTGCGAAAAGTCCACCTGACAATAATTTAATACTCAATTTTTGTGTAATCTAATTAATTATATTATAAACACTTTAGTTTTTTTATATAAAACTCTATTATTAAATCAATATTTTTAATCGTTTTTTCTTTCTATAACTTTTTAATGTTATTAAATAATAATATTAGTAATAAATAATATCAGTAATGAAAATAAATAATTAGTAGTGATAGAAAAATATTCATAATACATAAATTAAATACGATGAAAAATATTTTTATTTTACTTATTTTTAATTAAATCCTTTTTAATTTTATATTTTTATTTTTTAAGCAAACCATCTATATTTATTATTCATTTTTATTTTGCTCTTTTATTATTCCGGCTGTTTTTCTTTTTCTTGGACAGAGCGAGTGGGTCCAGACCATAAATGTTCGGAGAAGTATGGAGATGGCACAATTAATTTTGGCTAATATTTTAGAAATTTTTGGCTGTTACTAAAATAAGTTCTTTTCATTATTTACGTTTCTTTACCTTGTTCTCGTTTTTAAAAAAAAAATTCAGTACTTAAGTTTCGTATTTTATTTTTTTTCGTTTAATAGTATTTTTCATTTAATTTAATGTTTTCTTATTCAATTTTTATGATTCATAAATATTTTTAAAAAATTCAATGTGATATTTTGTTATATCAACTTTAACTTTATTTATCTTATTTTGTTGTTGAGATTAGATAATAAACACGTAAAAAGAAAAAAAGAAATGATTATATTAGTGGATGTCAATTCATAATCTTTTAAGTGATATTAATATTAATCTAATGAAAAGAATCACATTCAGTTTTTTTTGAGAAATATTATAATCACATTTAATTTTTTTAAAAGATATAGAAACCTTGAGTAAAAAAATTAAATCAAGACTAGAAAGAAAAAAAAAATGTTATTAAGCCTCACTGATTTTACCATACTTCTATCGGGCAAGTTTAAACAAAATGACGTTGTTTGCTAAAATGTAAATGTGCTAACACTAAAAAAGCAATTTTTTAGCAGTTTTAGTTTACTCAATTTCATTTCCTTATAAGACGGAGATTTTATATTAATTATGTATTATAATTTGGTCTTACATTAATTATGTATTACAATTTGATTTTACATTAATTATGTATTATAATTTGATCTTATATTAATTATGTATTATAATTTGATCTAAAATGTTTAGCTTACTTATTTTATTCACATAGTACAGAAATTATGTTTTATATCGGTTATTTATAACCTATTACATCGACTTTAGATTTTATGTAGATATTAATAATGCAATAAATTTATCACTTTTTACGTCAGATACGAAACCATCAATTTAACATATATGGTATTAGAAAAATAAATAAATACATTTCACTGCTCGCGCTTGCCATCTTTGTCAATTATAATATATGCAATATCCACTAGGCATCATTGTCAATTACAATATATTGTTTTTGCAATATGAACCAAACAGAATAGTAATCCGGCTAACCTTAAGCCAAGATCCATCCAAATATTTTCAACAAGAATCCATAGTTAAGCACTTATAAAGAGTTAAGCACTTATAAAGGATAGTCTTTAACATAAGATAATCAACACAAATTTTTAACATTTAAATAATATATATTAATTTCGCTGACCATTTTCATTCTAAGCCTTTTAACATGAATAAGAATCTTTACGCCAACTACGACTTAATGAAGCAGCAGTCGCAACGAGCAAAGTCGTAAAAATCTAAAAATTACATTAGGTATTTTAAAATAATGAGATTGAATATTTTATTTTAAAATAATTCAATAATATAAATAAAAATTTCTTAAACTCGTTTCATTATTTAAAATACAAATCATCTTTCTAAAATTCGTTTTTTTGAGTTTCTCTACTTTCTCTCTAAGATATTCGACTCTTGAATCATCTGTTTGACAATCAGGAAGTGTCTAGGAGATCACAGCAGAGTAATCTTCATTCCTTTCCGATCAATTTTTGGTTTAGAGCAAGTAAGTTTCTATCTCTTTTTTTCTTTCAATTTTTTGTCCCTGATCATGCTTAGGAACCCCTTCGCATGTGCCATTAGTCTTCTATTCCTGGTTCTTTGTTAATCTGAAGTCCTAAGGACTCACTCCGATCACAACTTGGTGATTTGTAGGAATTTCTAGAGTTCCTTTTGTTTGAAGCGAGTGTTTGTGTTTAAAGGTGGTAGCGAGTCTGTTTAAGGTAAGGGAGCTAATAACTTTCTTGATGCTCTTATAATTTGATTGTTTTAGAAGAATATGTTGAATTGGATTAGAATATGGAATGTTTAATTAATTTAATAGAAATTGCAATTTGAATTATTTTCTTTGTTCATTAGTGCATGATATGGACATGAATGTGTTGGTTGGTGATGTTATAATGGACCTTGATTGATGGATTGGTTGTGATTGTGAAATTAATAATGATGTGTGCTTGAGGTATGAGGAAAGGAAAATGTTAAGCTAGGTTGTAAGTAAATTTTTAGTTTAAAAATGAGGTTACACTAGGTGACTTATTAAAATAATGGGCTAGATGAAGAGATTGTGATTTAGGAACTGTTTTGTTGATATTTGAAACTTAATTGGATGATGAATGTGCAAAGAATTGGTGTAAAAGTATAACGTAAACAATAGGTAGTCTATTGAAGTGAAATTTTGTTTAGTTTAAGGGTTTTAGGTAGTAAGATTTTGATTTGGAAGGTTTCAGGTAGGTTTGAGTGTTTGGGGTGTATTGTTTACTCATATGTGACTTATTCAGACCCTTAAGTGGCTTAGTGATGAGCCAAAACTTGTAAAATTGAATCATGACCTAAAAAGTAGAACTTTAGTTGTTTTAAGTTGGGAATTCTTAAGATTTTGGTTCGAACTTGGTTATTGTTGAGGTATAAACACGTGGACAGGTCAATATGGAAGTAGAACATCAAATGAAATTGGTAGAAATTGGTAGAGTGGCCTGAAATAGGAAATAGTATGTGGTAAGGGTGCAAATTCTACATAATTGGTATTTTGCATAATTGTGCAGAGTCGCTAGGCGAGTTGGGGGCTCACTGGGCGATTTTTTAGAGGGTTTTGGTAGTGGGTTTCATAGGCTAGGCGAGCCAGCTCGCTAGGCATGTGGAGCTCACTATTTCTGCTCTAGCTAGGCGAGTGGTTTAGCTTGCTAGGCGAGTTTTGGGGGTCTTGGAAAATGATTTTTTTTGGGTTGGGCGAGCTTCCTCGTTATTTTAGGCTCTCGGTGAGCGAGTGAGTTCAAGTTGTTGTATGTATTTTGACTTCTCTTTTCTTTTATGGTTGAGTTTTTGATGAAAGAATGTTATGCCAATTGCTCAATAGTGTGATTTTAAATAATGTGATGGTATGAACATTGTGATTAGACTACATATGGTTTGGAAAGAATTTCTGAGGTGAATTGAATTGTGATTGAATAGTATTTTAGACTATTTATTTAACATGTTACCAAAGCAGATCTAGTGATGACAATGATGAGTATAGCAGATTTAGTGCGATGGTGATGAGCAGAGCAAATCCAACAATGACAACGATGAGCAAAGTAAAATTTAGCAGTAGAAGCAACAAGCGGAACTAATCCAGCAATGACAGTGACAAGCAGACATTACAAAAAAACAAGTATTATCGATGATTAAATTCGTCAAAAACGTAAAAAAATTTCCATTAATAACTTTTTTCTGAAGGATTATCGATGGACTCAAATTTGTCGATGATAATGCAGTCGATAATATTTATCGAGAAAAACTTATATTTGTCGGTAATTACTGACAGAAAAATCCATCAATAAATACAGAAAAAATTTATCGATAACTATCGACAGAAATATCTGTCGTGAACATAACCAAAATCTGTCGATAATTATCGATAGATAAATTTGTCTATAAATACTACGATCTTGTTCATCTTCTTCATTTTTTTCCCCTTTTTCATCTTTCTTAGTTTTTCATTTCTTTATCAATGTCTTCCTTCATTCCTAAACCAAAACAAAAACACATCTTAATTCCGAAACCAAAATCAAAAACTCAAGTTAGGTACCCTTATCGTTTTAGAAATCCCAAAATTGGAAAAATCCCTAATCTGCTTTCTGAACAATCATATTTTCTTCATCTCCAATGGCACACCATGCCACACCCATGCTAATCAAGCAATTCGAGCCATGGGTTTTTGTTCTTTTATGCAAGTTTCGAAACCCATATGTGGCCAACCATCATTTATGTTGTTCTTTCGTCATTCCCAGGCAGCTTCTTATGG